GATCGAAGTGAGTAGGGAAGTTGAGTGAGCTGTGAAACACCCATGTCTACACCTTGTTTTCACCAAGAGAGCCATGGTGGCAGGCGATGGCATGGCGGAGACTAGGGGACAAGCACACAGGAATTTTCTATGTATTAACTTTGCAAATTTGCTATTCATCTAAAGCTAGCACAAAATCAAAATCCTTTTCCCAAAGCACAGCTGGCATTTGTGGCACAAAGGACCTGTCAAGTCAGCAAGAGTCAAATCAACTGCAGTTGGGCCTCCACACCTTGACTGCAGGCTGGCTCAGTGGCTGTGAGCTCTGTGGCTGGAGCAAGTTCCTCAGTTCCCTCACCTGCCCAGGAAGTAATAGTAGTAATTGCTTCATAAGATTGTGGTGAAAGAACAAAGCATATTAAGAGTTAAAATCTGTATGGTCTCTAGCCAAGACCCATGATGGCCAGCATGCCACCTCAGATGGTTCCTGGGCAAACTGGGAATGAGGGTGACATAAAGTCACAAATGGTGACTGTCTTAGTTATAGTTCTGTTGCTGTGATGTGACACCATGATCAAGGCAACTCTTAGGAAAGAAAGCATTTAATTGGGGTCTTGCACACAGTTTCAGAGGTTTAACCCATTACCATCATGGTAGCATACATGGTACTAGCACGGTAGCTCAGAGCAGCATCCTGACACATGGGCTGTGAGAGCAACACTTGGCCTGGTGTGGACTTTTAAAACCTCAAAGCCCACCCCAGTGACACATCTTCTTCAACAAGGCCACACCTCCAAATCCTTCTAATCCCTTCAAATAGTGCCACTCCTTGGTGATTACGCATTCAAATATATGGGCCTATCAGGGCCATTCTCATTCAAACCACCACAGTGATGAGGAAACAAGTCAGGGTAGCATTCTGCAGTCCCCGTCCATGGAGTACTGTAAGTGGAATATCGCATGGGCTCAGTGAGCACCGGGTATGCCTTCACTGTTACTGCCATCACCACTAGTAAAAGTGACGGCCACAAAGTTGCAAGGATTTCATGTTGACCGTCATCTGCTTCTCCAACAGTTTGATATGCATGTCTGACAATGAGATGAGAATGCAATGGGCCTTTATAATCTGGTTCTTCTTCTTCTCTTGGGAAGCTGAAGCCTCCCTGTTTCAAGGTTCTGGTTTTCACGACTAAAACGCAACAGACAGGATAAGAGTGGCCGTTGATTTATGAAGCATCCAGGCCTCCAGGACTCACACTCTCCATTCTCTGCCTATGTCCTTCTGTAAGCAGGCTTCACTCATTCTCTGTTTTTTCCTGGTGATGAAATAAACCTGCCAGGAACTCTAAGAGGTAGATTTCCAAAGAGCCGCATCCAGAAAGAAGGATAGTTTCCTCCCTGTGAAGTGAGAACTCAGATCCTGAACCTGTCTCAAAGCCCTAGCAAGGGTCATGGCTATCCCAGATCAACCTTAGTGGTCAGGGGAATAGGACTCATGACAGGCATGATTCAATCCACCTGCCCATGTCAGGTATCGGATGTGCCATTCGAATTAAATTCACTGAGAATAGAAAGTGTTTCTCCTTAAAAATATATGTGAATATGGCCTCCATGCAAAGGTAATGGACGCTATGAATCGAAACCAGCATATGTTCACTGTAATCATGTGGGTTTTTAAATTGATGATCACAGTTGGCTCAGCAGATGCAGAAGCTTCAGGAAGAGGGAATTCAAACATCCTGCTCACCTTCCTCTCCAACTTGGCTGCTGCATCCAGCTGTCTGGGGAGTCAGCCATGTCCATGGATGGACCTCCGGGCCCTCTGGTCAACACACAAGTTTGACTCCATCGACATGTAGTTTGTAAGTGCTGACTTTACACCAGGCATTGCACAAGGTTCCCTTACAAATTATTTTCACTTTATAAAAACAAGCAATGAAATCCACAGCGAATTCCAACAATTTCTTCCTTACTTGTCATGTGTGGGTGTGCAAGCACATACATTCCAAGTATACAACTAGTCAGAGGAAAACCTCCATGAATTGGTTCTCTCCTTCTTCTATGGGTTCCCAGCACTGGACATGGATCATCGTGCTTGGATGGAACACCTTTTTCTATCAGCTGAGCTATCTTGCCTGCCCCCATTCTGACATTAAGGAAAAAAAGAAGCTATATTGTCTTCACAAGGCACTGAAAATAAGTGACAGATGAGGACAAGCCCTAAACAAGATACTTACGAGATCTCCACTAAGGCTCAGGGAACATTATGGAAGAGGGGAAGGCCCAGAGATAGGAAGAAGGGCTGCAAAACACCATATTTTGGGCAAAGCACAGCGATTGGCATATGAACTCACAGCAGCCATGGCTATTTCCAGCGGGTTTGCACAAGAATGGGCCCTTGAACAATTAGGCATGGATGCATGTCAGGCCCAGGGGCCCCATCCTTCAGTGCTGAATTATTTTCTTGCAGACGGAATCAGGGAAAGGGGCAATCGTAGACTTTGGTTATGTACTCACTCCCCCAACACTCTCAAGGCTCCAATAGACAGTTTTAGTTCCACAGTGACACTGAGAGCCCTGGTTAAACTAGACGGGTAGAAAAACAAAGCCAAAGGCTGGACATCTGGGAAAGGGATGGGTAGGGAAGGTAGGACACTTGAGAGGGATGCAAGGGATATAAGAGAGACAGGAGGAAGAGTAATCAGAATGTGTCACTCATTACACTGAATAGGCCCTGAAATTATTCCAAGCCAGTTTTAGTAACAGATTACAAAGCCCTCAGCTTCAGTCTCTTTCATGGTGTTGGATCAGCCCAAGCAGGATAGCTTATGTTGTTGGAATAAACTGTTCCCACCTCTCCAAGGCTTATAAATGCCTCATGGATACTGTGGGCTGACACCTGCTCAGACTCATACAATGGGCATCTCCATACCTGCGGGACGGACAGCTCTAGAGGGCTTCTGCTTACTAATTCAGTCCTTACTCGAGAAGGGATAGCCATCACTTCGTCAACAGCCTGGCAGGAAGAATAAAGCCATGTACTCTCAAGATGGATCAGTAGGATGGACTTGACACATGAGACTAAGAACAGTGATTATCATGCTAGTCGGTTTCCAAGTAACATTCAACATTTGATACATTGTGTGTCTTTACAAGTGGGACATTCATTGGAAGAGAATAGATTGATCTCATATCAGCCCATAGGCAGGATCTAGAATAAAATATATTTATTCTTATATCATATTTAAGTTTAAAATATCTTGGGGGAGTGCCTCATTTAAACAATATTAATGAACCTTTCCCCCCTCTTTTTCTGATAACAACTATGCCCTAATATAAATTCTCAGATTATCAGTCTCACTAACAAAGGACATATTCAATTATTAACCAAACTGATCAATCACAACTGTGAGAGAACCACACTCTGGGCTGTTCCTCTGAATCCCTTATTTTAAATTGTGGTCCTGCAGATTGAACCCGGGACCAGGCAAGCACTCTGTGACGGAGCCACACCTCAGCCAACCAAGGAGTACTTCTGTTGTTTCAGAAACTGAGGGATTTCCTTGGCCCTTTAATTGGAGGCCTGCTTCTTGACAGCCTTCTTTTGTACTTTCTTTGCTAGACTTCTGGTCCTTTTGAGGCTGGCTTGGCACCTGCTCACTCACACGAGCTGGACACACAATGGTAGTCCCGTCAGCCTCCTGAAAGGCCCCTTTCCCATCGCTCCAAGGAGTCGTCTCCTCCCAACACTTCCATCTGAATTATGACAAATTCCCGCCCGAGACCATCTCTGAAACTGCAGCCATACACTCTCAACCCGCAGGTCCTGAGTCAGGTCACTCTCCCAGAAGAAGGGAGAAGGAATTGATTCCGAGAGAAATTACAGGGTGGGGGTATTAAGGACTGGTTTCTGTCAAGGCAATCAATGTGTGTCCATACCTTCACTGATTGAGGATCCTGACTCTCTGTCACAATATTAAACCATTATAACATCATTCTAGAAACATTTATCTTTATGGTCCAAAACTCTGCCACATGTCAAAGAAGCCAATATCTCCTCAGAATGAAAATATAAAAGATGATTATGGTAGCTTGTTGTTTTTAAACATCAGGGGTGTAGAACTTCATCAAGATTATAACTATGCTGTGAATTTTTAATCAACTCCCTTTAAATCCTGTCAAAGCCAATGTGAGATTCCCAAACCGAGAAATTATTTAATCAGATAATTGTTTAGCTAAAACACCAGCACTTGACACAGTCATCCGTAACGACTCAGACTCTTTGCCTTCAAAGAGCATTCAGGGATCAGAGTCCAGCCCTTTCTGACACAGAAAACATGTATCTGAATGTTCTTTGGAGCCCTGAACATGAAGTTACTCAAAGCAAGGTCATTAGGCTCCAATTTATATTTTTGTTTTTACGTTCTTGCCTGTGAAACTAATTCTACCTAATCCATCTCCTGTTCAAAAGATAAATACTTCATGGTTTTCGATGTAGCCAGAAGAGAAGGCGATTTCAATTAATCTCACTAAATATCACCGTGAGTGTGCAATGATTTATTTCTCTCATTCCAAAGGGAGGATTTTTTTACACAGCCTCTATAAGCTGCTATTTGATATTGTGGCTAGGCCCCATTGACAAGTAATGTTTATAAGAAATGAAAACAACAACCACCAGAGCTGATGGCTATTCTCAGTGCAATCTCGGGTTTGCCCAGCCTGCTTGGAAACCAGGTTTTCTCTGAATCACACTTGAAAAGATGGCATTTAGAGATCTTAAATTAGTGTCTGTTGTCAGTTTGATGCCCAGGGCTGGACAAACATAAGCACCCTTGATTTGTACATGTATTTTAGGTGAGTGGAGGGCAAAGCACGAATCATAGTAAGCCTGAATGCCCAAAATGTGTTTGAACTCAACCATTCACACATTCAAGGATATTGGTAAAGTAAATAGCATCAATTTCCTCCTATTTAAAACATGCCTAGACATCAACCCTCATAACATCCAACTTGTGCAACAGGGAAAATAAACGGCACACTATTGAAGAAGATCGTGTCTCCTCTCTGCCGAGACAAGGAACAAATTGAACAGAGTCCAGAGGTCAGAGAGCTTTTCCGAGTTTTTAAATTTCCCCCAAGCACCGTGCAGATGGTGAGCCCTGGCTAATTACTATCTGTCTCCAACACCCCAGCCCTTGTCACTGCTGTGACTCCACACCAGGGGTTCCGATTCCAAGCTCATCAGCCAGGGCAGACATAGGGACCTGCGCATAAGTAATTCGCGCCACTGAGTCGTGCGGGTGAATTCATGAAATGAATTTGTGTGAGCATCAGGAGGAAATATGAGCACACAGATGGATAATTTATGAGTGGGAGTTGAGCATCTGTTTGCAGAGCCCTCTGAGGCAGATGCCCATCGGGGTAAAGTCCACTGACTGAGTTCTTATACTATGCTGATCTCTCATTTGAAGGGCTGAGTCATTCTAGCCTTCGGAACCTTTGCCTCCTCTGTGGCCAAATTGAGGGATGATAATCTCCGATAATAATCTACAGAGAATTATCTGTGTTTCTCTAGTATACCCTCATTCTCAAGGAAAGAGTACCCACCTCCATTCCACTATCCCAGGGAAGCTATAGTTATCAAATGGACTGGCCACCCAACAATAACAAATAAAAATGAACCAAACAAACAAACAAACAAAAATCCATCTTATCTCTAGCTATAGAGGCATCATGTTCAAAGTGAGCCAAGGGGAACCTCCCTTGCATCCATGATATCTAACACATAAGGAAAGGGTGGGGGTCAGTTTAATGAGGATCATTTGGTTGGGGCCCATTCCTGATTCCCCTGAAAAACACAACAGCAAGAAACAATTGTCAGAAACCAATCTACCCTTTAGTAAGTAGAACAATTGCCAGGTCTGGTGTTGCATCATTGTAGTCCCAATTATTCAGCAGACTGAGGCAGGAGGATTGCACACTCAGGGATAGCCTGAGCTACAGAATGAATTCAGCCACAGAGTGGATTCAAAGCCAGCTTGTGCAACTGAGACTGTCTAAAAAAGCAGTTGAGTTGCATTGAGGATAAAGCTCCATGGCACAGAGTGTGCCTAACAGATGTGAGGCCCTAAATTTGAACTCTACTACTACCAAAAATATACATTTACTGACAGCGCAGGTAATAGACACAAGTTACGAAAGAAGATACAAAGCTAATTTTTTCTAGTACTAACTCTTAGGGATGTGTTTGTGGTGGATGAACACATAAAAATGTATTTGATAGTGAAAGTGCAAAATCCAATGTGAAGCTGCACAACTTCAGAATGATTGTTCCAGCTCTAGAAGGTCCTAGACTTTGGGTCTGGTTAATTTCAGCATGTGATTTTTTTTTTTATAATAAAGTTTACAAATGTTTTGAGAAAAGTTTATTTATCAAATTTTTGTTTCTTGGACACATTGGTGAGATTTAGGACAATTACACTGAGTGAGAAAAGCTTTACAGAACTTTCTAAGCCAATTTCCATCAGAAGCCCATGTACTCACGACCATTTGTCACCTTATCTCACAAGTTCACTGTCTTCCTGATCAGTGCCAATGCTCAGCTTCAGACTCCCAACTGGAATTCCCAATCCATCACCAAGAAATTCCCTTCCACCCTTCATCTGTTTCCCTTAAATGCTACCTTCTTCTGGCTCCAACTAAAACTCAAGGATGAATACAGCTGCCCCTGTAGAAGAAAGAGTGGAGATGGTCTGAGGCGCTCTTCCTCATGGTACCCTCAGACCATCTCCACTCTTTCTTCCTAAGGCTCAAGTCATTCAAGATGCTACTGAGTAGTTGTCCTTCTCGTCCCTTCAGGAAAGGCCATACCTTGTCATCCGTGAGGACTGTGGTCTCTAGCTTTCATCTTCACTCCTCTCATCAATGTCCGTGGTGACTTCAACAACCATGTGGGCAATCTGTCTTTTTCCCTTTCTGTTCCATGATCTGAATTTCCATATGCCATAGCACTTTCCTGGGGCCAGCCTCAGCCAGACACTCTTTGCAACATAAAATGAACAAGCACGTCACCCCCATCTTCTGACCACCACTGGAGGCTATTTCCTTGCTGATGTCTCTGGAGTCTCCGTGCAGCAGTTTACTGGGTCTACCCATCCATGCTGCTGCTGCCTGGCTGCCTGGCCCCTGTCCTCACACCCCTTCTTGTCTAGTTTGGCTTCATCACTTGCTCAACCCTTTAGTCACTCAATGGCTGCTCTCGGCTTCCTTTGTACCTTCCTAGCAAAGTCACACATACACACTGTGTCTGCAACATGTGGACCTGGTGGACTGAGCACAGTGTCCTAGAGTTCTCCTGCCCGTTTCATGTCCTTCTGAAAGAAACTTGTGTTTCCGCTGACTTACCCCACATCAGACTGTTTGATTTCCCCTTGCTGTATCTAAAGCAGTCCTCACTCACCTACTCTTCCTGCATTACCTGACCCAGCCATTCACCCTTCAGGTTTCTACTTTGACATCCCTCCCCACCTTTCCTTTCCTTTATTTTAAATTTTATTGAATTGAAATTCACAAAGAACAAGTCAATGGCACATGGTTCATTGAAGACATTGTACAACCCTGGCCACCATCATCCCAACTACAAGTGCCAGGCCCAATGGGCAGTCAAGCCTATGCTGGCTGTCACTCCTACACTGACACTCCTGTCCAAGATCAATCGACCAGAAACATCTGAGCACTGGTCTCTGAGAGCTTTGCTGCATTCCGCTGTCTATGTGTCTACCTTTATACTAGTAACAGAATGTTGTAAGTACTATGGTTTGGTAATACATTTGGAAGTCCAATGTAGTGACACATAGAGTGCTGCTTTGTTTGGCCTTAGCTTCCTGTGGTTCTGTGTGGATTGTAGGATTGACTCTGATGGAAACAACCCGAGTCTACAGCAGATCATCTAGGGTGGTCTGGACATTCTAACAATACCGATGCCTTCTACATGTCACACATATATACCAGCAGTATTTCTACTCATCTGTGTGTCTTTAATTTTATTTCTTGTGTTGTACAGTTTACAGCGTACAAGCCTTCATCTCCTCAGGGCCAGTACTATTAGCTGTTACTATTGCAAATGGGATTGTTTCCTTCCACCCGGTCTAGATTGTTCACAGTTAATACATAGAAATGTAACCAATTTTTTAGGTTGACTTTGTTTCCTGAAACTTTGCCAAATTAATTACTTTTGAAGCAATTGTGTGAAGTCTTCTTTTGTGGGGATTTTGTGGGGATTATGTCACTCATAGCCAGACTCGAGATTGCCTCTTCCATTATGATCTATAAGTCCTTTACTGTTTGTTCTCGCCTAATTTCTATAGCTAAGATTTCCACTAACATGTTGAATAGAAGAGTCAAGAGTGGACATCTTCACCTCCTTGTTGCTAGTACAGGATAGGTTTCAGTTTTTCAACAGAGTGTAGCATTTGTAGACTACATGTTTCTATGGTGTCTCATAACTGTAGCCTTACAACACAGGAGAGCAATGATGAGGGTTGGGGGTTGACGCTGAGTTCAAGCTGCTGCCATTCCAACATGACCTCCACCAAATAGCTCTATGTAGCTAGAGTTTTCTCTCCGGGTCCCGCCAAACCCCAGCAGTCTGACAGCCCACTTATAAAATAAACACACAGATGCTTATATTATTTAAACTGTTTGGCCTAATGGCTCAGGCTTCTTGTTAACTGTTTCTCTCTCTCTCTCTCTCTCTCTCTCTCTCTCTCTCTCTCTCTCTCTCTTTTTGGTTTTTTCGAGACAGGGTTTCTCTGTGTAGCTTTGCGCCTTTCCTGGAACTCACTTGGTAGCCCAGGCTGGCCTCAAACTCACAGAGAT